ATCTTAAAATAGCCTAACAGGCGGCCAGAGACTTAGTGTGTAAATTATTAAAACTCTTGTGAAGCAATTAGGGCTTCGAATCTTCATTTAATCGCTTAGATAACTTATGTATCGATCGATGTAAAATGTCATCTATCGATCGATACGAGTAAGCATCTATCGGTCGATTGCTCTCAATGTGCATCGGTCGATAGCTTAAACATCGTTTTGCTCATATCTTCATAAAGTCTCTTTTTTAGCTCCAAAATGCATGTTTTACACCAGTGAGTACCTGAACCTGTAAAAGCTCTAAAAAGACACTAAAAGTATCCTTTTGTTTCCAAAAACATATATAAATCATGGCTGAAAACGGGTAAAATCCATGATATATAAACTCCCCCAGACTTATCCTTTTGCTTGTCCTCAAGCAAATAATAGAACATTGGTCTAGAAAAGGTTTGAAAGGCAGAAGCTCTTACAATTCTGGACTTAGGACCATCACCTCTCTACTTATTGCAAGCCACATCAGATATCTATCAATTTCCAGAAATATATTACACAATATCCTAGCTTAGCAACCAAATTCAACTAGTGAACAACTTAATGATCTTGTTCTTCTATCCCCTCTGCCGATCTCATTTATGCATAAAATAAAGGTGTAGGCTTTACCTTGGGAGTATCGATCAAGGAAAACTTGGATTCAACTCAAACAAGTTTCATGCATTCTCATCCTTGTTCCCTTTCTCTCTTTATCCCCCTTCTCTGAATCCCAACTCTTTTTTATATATATATATATATATCAATCCCAGTGAACAATAATGTTCATCTTATTGATCTTCCTTGACAAAGTGTAAGCGAATAGTGGGGTCATAGGTAATGTACCTCTCCCTCGCTTTGATCATTTCTTTGATTTAGAATAGTGGGGTCATAGGTAATGTACCTCTCCCTCTGCCTCTCAGGAAATCATATCGTCTTTTATTTTCTTGGGATGCTGAAGGAAGGAGAGAAGGAAACCAGAATTTTTGAGTCTTTTACCTTCCAGACTTGCAGGAGGATTCCGATCCCTTGTATACCATGCCACAAGACAAGCAGTAGATGTCAGGTTAGGTTGGAAATCGGCTTTGGTTCTTCCATACATTGTCAACAAGTGTTATCATAGCTAACAGGTGATCCGCTTTAGTGTCTCTAGTACCTTCTGTAACTGACAAATCTAAGAGTGGTGCTAAGAAGTGGTTAGGTAACAAGTCTGAATATAATCATTACTTCCTTCTTAGTAAGACACATTTTGTCTCTCTTTCTTTTTTTTTAATAAAACGGGAGTAAAAATAAAAATGAAAATGTTAGTAGATACCCCCCCCCAGACTTAAACAACACTGTCCCCAGTGTTACTAGTCTAAGACGAAATGAAAAAAATAATGTAGCAAAGATGTTCATGTTAGTAGGAACAATTGTACCTCAACCTCTACATATCGATCGATACAAGGTGATGTATATCGATCGATAAAGTTCCGTCACCTATTTTTGATGTCAATCATCGAACTCAACATCCATGAGTTATGTAGTTTATGTTAGCTTTGTTAGACATTCTCAAAACACACAAATAGTTAGATAATAAAATAGTTGCGGGCATAGTCAGAAAATAAAAGGTACGAATAAAAATCCTACAAGTCTGAAAATAAAAGTGAAAACATAGTAGTACGAGATAAAAGGATAGAAATACGGGCGAATGAATCAGCCCTCACTGCCCTCGTCGTCGTCGTCCTCGTCACCACCCTCGTCACCCTGATCAGGCTGCTGGGAAGAGGCTGCTGCGGATGGGTCAAAAGCTGAATTGCTAGCTCGGCTCGAGCAGCGGCATCTCGAGACGCGGGACCATATGGCACAAAGAGCATCCAACACTCCTCTCCTGTAGACCTGCTCCTCTCCCGTCTCCATCCCTGAGAGATCTGGGAACGGGGGCAGGGAAGCTGATGAAGAAGCACGGGAGGTACTTGCACTGCGGACTCCTGTGTCGCGACGCTGCGGGGCTGGAGCGAGCACTAAGGCCGGGTCTGGTTGGAAACGGAGCTTGTCGAGGTTACCCGCAAAGAGAGTCGCCTCTGGATGAGGCAGGCAGAACCGGTGTGCACCAGCTGAAGTCTTGAAAGTCCATAGGAGATCCCTGTCCATCTACTGGCTGTTACGCAGATGCTCTGCGTCCAGGTAGTGCCGGGAAGTGTCCACGTCATCCTCGTCAAAACGGATCCCACAGTGCTGGAATATCGGTGTCAGCAGACTCCCTACCGCCTCCTTCTTCCTCCCTTTGCCACCGGAGAAAGGCTTGGTCTTCAAGCTGACTAGATGCTCAGCGAAGACAGCACCCAAGTTGGGTGTAGCCATGTGGCGCTCCGGGTCTATGAATGTCAGATTGACCAGTCCGTCAAGCGCATCGTACAGCAGTGTAAGCTCGTAGATCCGCACCTTTTTGGGCTCCATCTTGCAGAGCAGAGTGGCAGCAAGGATCCTCATGAAGTAACAGAGGGTTGGGTGGCGGATGTCGGTCTGAAGCACCGAGGCTGAACTCCAGGTACCTGTGCCAAAGATCTGCCAGAAGTCCTTAACCTCTGGAAAGGCTGAGATGGTGCTCGAGGTGGCAGTCTCATTCCCAAAGCCGTAGATCGTGCAGAGCTCGGGGACAGTGACATAGTACCGGACGCCCCTAGCGAAGAAAGACAGAACACCATCACAAGCAACACTCGATGGCTGGTTCTTATACTCAAGGCGAACCGTGGCCATGAACTGCCCCCGACTAGCTCAGGATGGAGGTCATAGGCTTGGGAGCCAATGGTCCCGAATCCAAGCTGGATGAGCATCTCGCCAAGATCCTTGTCGATCCCTAGGCGTCTGGTAGTGGCGAGGTCGATGAAACGTGTGGGAGCGACCTCCACATTAATCCAGGCATTGTAGAGCAGGCTGTCGTAGTTGTCCCAATCCTTACTCACAGGACGACGTAGGCACTCGGCACTTTTAGCGGCGCGTTTCGGGTCGGTGAAACGCTGGTAGATCCTAATCCGTTCCCCAGCCCTATGTGGCCAAGGGTCGCGCTCATCTTCCCTTTTAGAAGAGGAAGAAGATGGTGGAGAATGACTGCTGGAGGCGCCATGTTGATCGAGATTCCGTTTGGTTCTCCTCTCCCTCTGTGCAGCTCGAGTCACCATCTGCAAAAAGGAGGAAAGAAAACGAGAATCAGCCATTAGTTAAGTTCATCGATATCGACCGATGTAAATCGATTGATATCGATCGATAATAATCGATTTCATGTTCTTCTGGATCCAGCTAAGATGTACGTATCGATCGACAGAGCAAGCTCGATGTCGATCGATATCGAGTCGCGAAACCTGCAAGAATCTCAACAATCCAAATCGCAAGTTTATAGTGTAAATCCTAGTTCTAATACTCAAAAACCTCTAATCTAACAATTCTAACAACTCAAAATGATTAAAAACAAACCTATCTACCGATTTCTAGCCAAAATTTGGGTGAAACTTTGTTCTTTATAAAAATCTAAAATCAAAGGGTTATACCTTAAATTATTTCGGATTGGAGAGTGAAATCGAGATAGAGGGAGGATTTCAAATCAAATGAGGCAAAAACGGGAGAATTCCGTGAAGAATCGAGAGAGAAAGAGAAGTTTTGGGGTTTCGGTTGTGTTTTGCGATTGTGGAGGAGAAAATGGCTCGTATCGACTTAAGGCAGTGCGCCCTCGATATTTCCGTATCGATCGATATGGTATTGTTGTATATCGATCGATATGTTTGAATTGTGCTAATGTGTTTACTCGTTTTGCTGAATAAAGATAATCAATAACTAAAAATTTTTGATTCTAATAGTGGGTTGCCTCCCACTCAGCGTTATTTGAAAATTATTGAGTATGATTTACCGATCCGGTTTCTTCGGCGGGATTAGGTATACTTAACTGGAGGGGTTTACAATTTGGGGGCTTGACCCAATAATATTTTACTCGTTGACCATCTACAGTGAATTCTACGCCTTTTTCGTTCACAAGGGTAACGGTTCCATTTGAGTGGGCCGCTATGACAATAAAAGGACCTGACCAACGAGATCAGAGTTTCCCAGGAAATATATTCAAACGAGAGTTATATAAGAGGACTTGATCATTCGGGGTGAAATGCCGCGAAATAATGTGTTTGTCATGATAATATTTTGTTCTCTCTTTATATAACTTGGAGTTCTCTTAGGCCAGATGCCTTATTTCTT